TCCACCGTGTCAGTGTAAGTGACAATTATCACTATTCTGATCTTTTCATGGTGATTATTTGTTTAGTGCTCATGGGAGTTCTTGGAGAGACCGTAGAGCATCATGGCCAAGAGCACAGGTGCTGAAACCAGACTGCTCATATTTAAATCCCACTTTGCTACTTATAGCTGTGTGACCTTGGTTAAGAAGTTGACCTCTCTGGGCCTCAGTTTCTTCATTTGCCAATATTTCTCTTGGACAGAGAGATTGGTGTGGAGATGTGTGACTCAATTGACCAATGAGATTCAAGGCCAGGACTTGCGCTGAGACCACCAGGGAAAAGAAGCACTCTTTCCATTGGGGTTGCTGGGCTGGCAGGATGTGAGCCTGGAGCCGCTGGGGCCATCCTGGCGACCTCAGGGAGAGAGGCTATCTGAGCCTGAAGTTAACACAGGGGGCAGCAGATAAGAGAGCTGGAGAGAGTGATGAAGGTATTGTTTGAGCTCCTGGATAGGGCAATGCCTGAAGCAAGCCACTTTTGGACTTCCCAGTTTCATGAGCCAGTAAATTCCCCATTCTGTGAAAGCCACTTTCAGTTGGGTTTTTCTCACTGGAAAGCATCCAGGCTGACACCAGGGGGTTAAGCAACTTGCCCAAGGCCTGAAAGCAAGTAAGCAGCAGATGCAAGATTTAAAAGCTTCTTATCGGCTGTGTCCAAGCCAGCATTCTGTATTGGGTATTCACTGATTTTACCTCTTTTTGCTCTCTGAACAGCCATTTCCTCATCTGTGAAATGGGGTAATGCGAGGCTTGCAGGGCTGTTGGGAAGTATAAAATGCAAGACCAGAGTGCAGTCTGCGGCTGGAGACTGAAATGCTATGCACTCAGTCTCCCGTGCTGTGGGCCTTGGCTTCGTCCCCAGTTAGTTATTCCATCTCAGGGAGGTGTTTGGTTGACCCCAAACCAGCCATGCATCCAGTCGAGGTGCTACACTATGTTAGGAGGGCATGTGTGATTCTCAGATGATAGGGCCACTTCCTTTCCTGGCTGTGTGTCCTCATTAGTGGACAAAGGGAGCTGGATGACCCTGAACTCTGAGTCTGTGAGGTAAAAAGAAGCCCTGTCATCTTGGTTCCTGGAACCTTCTGAGGACTCTGGTGCTCGTGTGGGAATGACCTGTCACTCAAGGAAGACAGCATTGAACCAAATCAACTTAGTCTCTTTTCTTTTATGATGTTTATATTTAGTGGTGGAGCTGGATGACAGACACATAAAACAAATATAGAACATAATACCCCATGTTAACAGATGAGAGAAAATAAGTCCTTAAATGCCTGGTAAGTGCTAAGAGGAAAAAGGGATAGAGTGTTGGGATACCGTTTATTAGAAGGCATCAGAGAGGGCTTCTCTGAGGAAGTGACATTTCATCAGAGACCAATTTGGTCTCACTCCGGATCCCAAGCTCTTAACCTGGGCTATCTCCCAGAAAAACGACCAGGACAGTTTTTACCAGGAAACTTGCTGACACAGCTAAGTTAGGAGCAGATGATCTGTTGGAGGCTTGGTAAACAGCCATCCTTCTCCACTGACAGCTCTTCAGGACTTTTTAAAAAGTTTAATGGGTCATTGATTTCCTTCATTAGCTAAATCCATGAGGGAAAGGCCCAATAAATTGCATGAACCCATTCCTCAGGCATGCCTGCCGGGAAAAGGTTTTAGCTATCATGACACATGGTCATTTGTTTATTTTCTAAACAGTCATCACTAAAAGAGTCCCAATCATCACCATCAAATCTCTGAGGGATCGCAGGGCTTGGCTGGTTCCCGGCCAGGCCTCGGCAGGAACTGGCAGAGCTTTACAGATGAAAAGCAAGCTGCAGAGAGCCACAGAAGACCTTGGGTCCCTCCTCCTGACCCAATATCAGATGCTTGGGGCACAGACAGAAAATCAAGTTCCCTACCCCCATACAACATTATGGGGGGGGGCAGGAGAGGGAAGCAAGCCAACAAATAAATAAACAGGGGAATTTTAGACAGAGGTGAATGCCATGGTGCACAAAACAAGCTCTGTTCTGTGTCAGAAAAAAACTGTCTACAGACGTGACATTTGACCTGAGACCTGAAGGGTGAGAAGATCTGCAAGAAGTGTGGTCCATGCAGAAGTTACAGCTGGTGCAAAGGTCCTGAGGTGGAAACTAGTTCGATGTATTAAAGACCGGTCTGGAATGGAGTATGAGAAGAGGGGAGAGGCTGGGGAGGTGGGCAGGAGTCAGGTTGCCTGGGTCTTATGGGCCAGGGTTAGGATTTATTTGGGGTTCATTCTAAGAAGGATGGGAAACTATTGGAGGGTTTTATGTATTAGAGTTTCATGATCCAAATATTAAAAGCTCTACTGCTATGTGAAGAATGGATATAATGGGATTAGCAGATACCTGAAATTAGGGATTTCATTCAGGGTCAATGTTTGTGACCAGTTTCACCCTCTGCCACGGTTAATAGGTTGATTGGGGCCTCCCCCCAAAAATATGTCCAAGTCCTAACCCCCAGAATCTAGAATATGATCTTTTCCAGAAAAAGGGGCTTTGCAGATGTAATTAATTAAGGATCTTAAAATGAGATCATCTTGGATTACTTGGGATTGCCAAATCATCCTGGTTTAGGGTAGGTCCTACATCCAGTGACAGGTATCCTCATAAGAGTGAGGCAGAGGGAGATTAGACACACAGAAGAGGAGAAGATACAGAGAAGAAAACCAGGTAATGATGAACACAGAGACTGGAGTGATACCCCACAAGCCATGGAATGATTGCTGCCACCGGGAGCTGCAAGAGGCAAGGAAGATTCTCCCCTAGACTAGAGCCTTTGGAAGGAGCACGGCCCTGCTGCACCTTGATTTCAGACTTCTGGCCTCCACAACTGTTTGAACATAAATTTCTGTTGTTTTAAGCCACCAAATTGGTGATCATTTGTTACATGGCAGCTCTAGGAAATTAATGCAACCATGAAACAGCCCAAACTCGGACCTTGCGTTAGCCGCCTCCTGCAGCCCCCAAGAACCTGTGCGTAACTTTGGAACCACTCTGAGGCCGTTCCAGTCACTGAGTGGCACTCCCTGCAGGCATGCAGGCCACCTGGGCTACAGATAGATATTTGATTTATTTACTTAGCTCAGTTCAGGAGGACAGGAATGAACCAGCCCTGTTCTCTGTTCCTCCAAGGAGTTCTCAGTTCTGTGAGTTCCAGACAAACTAGCACTCAAAGAAATAAGGGCAGGAAGAGTTCAGGAGACAGGAGAGTCACCTAAATGGCTAAGACTTAAATTAGGCAGCTTCCAAGTGTAGGCGTTTCCAAACTTTTCACCAGAATGGGCATCTTCTGTTAATTTTCCCCCACGGAATACTGTTTCTAAAGACATTGGCTAGGACACTTGGGTGGCTCAGTCGGTTGAGTGTCTGCCTTTGGCTGAGGTCATGATCCTAGGGTTCTGGGATGGAGTCCCACATTGAGCTCCCTGCTCAGCAGGTAGCCTGCTTCTCCCTCTGCCTGTTACCCCCCCCCACCGCTTGTGCTCTCTCTCTAATAAATAAATAAAATCTTAAAAAAAAATAGACATTGGCTATCAAACCAGTTGTATTTATTCAATAATCACTCATTTACCTCCTTATTTGCTATTATTTGAAAGTATATAATATGCGGGCTAATATGTGTTGATCCACTCACTACACTAAAAGCAAGATCTATAGCAATATATAATCATTCAGGCTTCACACCACCTCTATGAGGTGGGTACCTTTGTTGTCCTCATTTCACAAAGGAGGGAACAAAAGCAGAGAGAGGTTAGATAATTTGCTCAAAGTTGCGGTGCTAGCATTTAGTAGAGCTGGAATCTGGACCTAGGCAGTCTGGCTCCAAAGCAAGCACTCCCCTGGAGACTTGGTGAGAATCTTGGCTTCCGTGCCAATATGCAATGCTACTAAGGACAAGTCATTTTGCCTCTGTGCACCTCAGTTTCCTCATCTATAAAATGGGAATAATAATAGTGCCTATATTGTAGGGTTGTTGTAGAAATTAGATGAGAATATGTACTTGGAGTGCTAGGCACAGTGCCTGCCACAAGTACTCAAGAAATGAGCTAGAATTCAACCAGTGACATCAGGCAGCTTCTCTGGGCAGGCCTGAGATGGGACCAATGAAGACGATGATTCAGTTCTCTAGGTCCTCTGACCCCATGGAGTTCACAATCTCCATATAATGTGCCAGGCCCAGAAATGAATGGCTTAAAGTAGAACCCACGGGAAGGCAACCTGACCAGCCTTTCTCATATGTGCTCTAAGGACCACAGGTATAGTAGCTGGAGTTGCTGGTGAAAAATACAGATTCCTGGTATCTGAATCCTTTTAGGGTGCTTCTAGAAATCGGCATTATTCAATACATGAACGTACCACGTAATTTTTGCTCCACTGGGTCCAGTCTGAGCAGGATTTCCTTGCTACTTTGAGAAATAACTGAAAATCATTCCAAGACCCCAATCCATTCATTCCTGCAGTGCCCAGGATAGGAGGCCTCAAACAGAAATCCTGCATTTCAGACAAGGACAGTACCCTCGAAAAAGGAGCGGACATTTGGCCTGAGGGGAAGACATGCAGCCCTCGGCCCATACTCCAGCTTGCAGCACTGAGGCCAGGATCCTGGCGCTGAAGGACGGACGCATGGTTACTTCAAGGTCACTCTGTGACTCAACGGGCCGCGGCGAGGCTTGAACCCAAGATCCACTGGGTCCTTGCAAACCCACGCTCCGTGGGCGGGGCTCCTAGGGTCGCCTAGGCAACCGGCGTGGGCCACGCCCAAGCCCAGAGCCCCGAGGCGGGAGGAGTGAGGGAGAGCACGCTGCCGGACGTCCCGCGGGACTGAGGCCACTTCCCCCAGCACCTCCCCCCGGCTCCGCCCCGCGGAAGTGCTTGCCGACATTTTCGAATGCTGATTGGTTCTCTCACGAGGGGGCGGAGCCCGCGGTAGCGCGGTGCGTACTTCCGGCTGCCGGGTTGACATGAAGAAGCAGCGGCGGCTAGGGCGGCAGTAGCGGCGGGAGTCGAGGCTTGCAGCGGGACTCAGAGCTGAGAGCGCGGTGCGGCCTAGAGCAGCAGGCGGTGCGGTGGGCCGAGGAGGAGGCGCAGCAGCCGCCCTGGCCCGTCATGGAGATGGAAAAGGAGTTCGAGCAGATCGACAAGGCCGGGAGTTGGGCGGCCATTTACCAGGTGGGGTAGCGCCCCGTAGCGCGGCGGGCCCCTAGCTTAGGCCGCGTGAACCTTCCCCTCAGACCCTCGGGCTCGGTCCTCCCTCTGGGTCTCGCTCTCCGCCTCGGCCCTGCTGCGTGAGGATTCGATCCGACGGCGGCAGAGGCCGGCCTTCTCTCTCTTTGTCCCCCGGGTGGGCCTGCGTCTCTCCGGGGCCTCTCAAACCACTTTGATCCCCCACCCACCTTATATCCTCCAGCCCGGTGACCCCTCAAGCCTGGAGGCCGCCCGTCGGTGCTCTCAGCGCGAATCCCTTGCACCCTGACCCCGCCCCCCTGCTTATCCACTCTTTGTCCCCTGGGGTTGATGGAACACCCCCACTACTTCCTTTTCTAGACTGGACCACCTCAGACTTTCTTCCTTTGTCTCCCTGGGGGAAAGGGTTACTCCCCCCTCCCTCCTTCACATTTCCTTTCCCCTCGTCTTAGTGTGTGTCAAGTCCCAAGGATGACAGTCCTCTTCCCTCTTCCTGTTCATTCATTTAGTGAACATGAATTGGCGTGCCTTTTCCAAGCTGGGCATGGCGCTGGAAGTAGTGTTTGCAGAACAAGACAGACAAGACCCTATTTCTCGCGGAGCTTAGAGTCGAATAGGGCAGTCAAACCCATGAGCAAATCATTTCAGATTGTGACAAATGCTGTGAAGAAAACAAAACACCATAACGGGGTAGAGTCACTGCCTGGAAGGTGGGCCACCTCAAGGGGGATCAGGGAGGATCTGTCAGAGGAAGAGACTTTCGCTCTGTGCGCTGAATGAGGAGCAGCGGCAAGCCCTGAGACGATCAGGCCAAAGCGCTTTTCAGCCAGAAGACCTGCAATACGCACCCTTCTGGGGCCAAAATATTACCCTTTCAGGCAGGAGACAGGGAAAGTTAACGTTTTTTGCCCTCTCTAAAATAGCTTCTTTCCCCAGTGAGCATCTTATCTTTTTTTTGCCCTGGCTGAGATAATGGGGTCCTCCCAGTCTTCATATCCTTGTGGGTTACGTGGTTCATAAATAAAAAAGTTAGAAAGGTAGGGTTTTTCACCTATCGGCAGCATCAGCTTAACAACACGAAAAGGTCTGCTTTCATAAGCAGCTAAATCCTCTAAAGAAAATACGAGCTTCTGATTAAATGTCATTGCGGGGGTTGTGAGAGGATTAACCAAAACCACACTCGGTATTTTAAATAGGCGATGGACAGAATAGGGAGATTTTTGTTACTTGTGTAAAGGGAGAATGCATTTTATTCTGTTTTCAGCTTATAGTCAAAAGGCAAATTGTGAGATCCATCAGCTGGTAGTATTAAAGTCTATTTTGAGCTCCACTTAAAAAGGAAAAAAGCTTTAAGCAGTTCTTTGGTATGCTTGACTAACAAAAGCCTTTTTTTGGCAGGCCTGGCTTCATGTGGATTTGCATCAAGCTTATTTGACAGGATTCTTCTTACTAGGACTGTAATGGATATTAACTTCTGATAGACTAATATTTGCAACCACTGTAATCTGTATAAGTATGCTGAATCAATATATGAAATTTGTATTCTGTCTCATCTCTGAGTTCATTGAATGAATTCCACTAGTATCTTGGAGAATGTGTAGACACATTTTCTGCATCAAATCTAATGCAGCAGAGTCTCAAGTGGCTTTAAATGAAAAAATTGTTGGTTCGAAGTATTGATTAGAATATACCCCATCACAAGTGTAGATGGCTTCTAGGAAGCATTGGGGAAAATCTTTTGTACTGAAACTAAGCTGGCAACAACAAATTCATATTCTAAAAAGTTCTTGGGAAAAAAAAAACAGTTCTTGGTTGAATTTTATTTCTTACTGTTTTAGGGCAGAGTGGGAAATCCATCACCCAAGCATTGTTAAAACTGTGTTGCACACGCCACCAGCATGAAGCATGTTGGTTTCCCTCATCGTTCTTATGTGTATCTACCACATTTGAATGCCAGGAGTTAGTCACATTGCAATGTGTTGAGATTTCCCCAGCTTCTTAGTGGACTGCACATTCCTGGAAGTGGTTTCTTTTTATTTTAGACAATTGTCCACTACAGGCTTTCTCACCTACCGTACAGATATTTTTCTTTTCTAAAGTTGAAATCAGAATCTCCTCTCCTTTTTGAATTTGAAAGTGGCTCTTCATTGGGCAACTGTGGCATTTTTAAAAATGAAGAGTTCAAATGACCTTGAGTCTAAAGTGGCAAATTTCCCAAAGTGCGTGTCAGTTTACCAAAACCATTATTTTTCAAGAATTCAAAGAAATGTGTTCATCGTTGGCGGAAAGTAGAAGTAAAAAAATTAATATTTTATAGCATGTCACAGTGAGGGCAGCCTTCTAACAAAGTCATTTTGAGCTTGTGTAGTCTATTGTGATTAGAAAAATAATGTGTAATTTTGGCTTAAAATTTTGTAAATGAGGCAGTGCAGTTATTTCTCACTATACTTCTTTCCTAACTAAAGCAAACAGATGCAAAAACTTGGAAACAATTGGGAGAAGAACAAAGGGTGAAGTAGACTTTGAATGCCTAGGAATGTGGTGGCTTAGGAAACAAATGTTTCGGGCAAAGATTCTGTGCTATCTCAACTTGATAAAATGAGCATAACTGTGTTTTTAATTGTTAATCGCATAGATACTAATCAGCATTTAGATACATAAACAGTCAGCTTTGATAGCATATGTAGATAGATGTTTTAAAAATTGTTTTCTGTCATTTAAGCGATTGTGTGCCTATTTTGAAAAGTGGAAGTAATAGTGAGCCTGGAGTTTGAGTTGGTCTGGCTGTCCAGAAGAGGAAAGAGATCTTAGATACGGGGAAAGGGATTGGTTTTCAGAGCCGGAATGGGAGAGGAGAGGGCTGGAATGAATGAAGATAGCTAATGAGCTGCCCTCCGTTTGTAGCTTAAGGTTTGGGTCAGGTGTTTTGCTGTTTGTCTCATCTCCAGTTCTTTGATTCTCTGTTCGCTATTTTTCAGTGTGAATGATGTGATTGTTTCAGATAAAGGAGATTGCAACAATAGCTCATGACTTGAAGTCAAGATTTATTCCATGTTAGAGGCAGGCTTTGTAAAGTGGGCCACTCTTCCAATTGACATTTGTTTTTATAGCCGCTTTTATTATGAAATATGATCGAATGCCTGACTGGGTTAAAACCGTGTTATAACCATAGTTCACTCAAATTCCTTCCTGCCATATACAGCTTCTATTGTCACAATCCAAGCAGATGAATATTAAAATGTCCTAGTAATTTTTATATCAATACCATTCTCTTCAGAGAAAAACTGTATTTTGTGCAGAGGAGAAATATCTATACACTATGACTCACTTCACTTAAAAAAAGACAAACGGAAATGACATGGAGAGATTGGGAAGTTCTAGTCATCTTGAGTGACCCATTAGATCTAAATGTTCTTGTGTAGCTCGGTTTGAGTGAACTAAATTTAGGTGTCTGATCACCATTTTGGAAATGGTGGGAAGACCTCTGTAATTGTCTGGACTCAAATTAACTGGGAGCACAAGTAGAAATAGTGAAGGGGAGGACATTTTGCTATTATTATGTCTTGGCATCCCTGGCATATTTATAGGTATACTTTGGTACTTTTGGAAGTATGTAAACTGTATCAGATGTCTCTCAAAAGTCAGCCAGGGAATCATGGTGATGCTGGCGATTTTCAGTTAGTTGATCTACCTTTGGGCTCCACAGCCTCCTCACTGTGTTTGCATTTTAGCATGAATGGCTCCCCCAGACCTATAAAAATACCTGGTATTGAATAATGTAATTGAATGTATACTGAATTTCATAATAGAAACACATTTTTAAAAATGCCCTGTAAGTGGGGTGCCTGGGTGGCTCAGTCGTTAAGCGTCTGCCTTCGGCTCAGGTCATGGTCCCAGGGTCCTGGGATCGAGCCCCGCATCGGGCTCCCTGCTCCGCGGGGAGCCTGCTTCTCCCTCTCCCACTCCCCCTGCTTGTGTTCCCTCTCTCGCTGTGTCTCTCTCTGTCAAATAAATAAATAAAATCTTTAAAAAAAAAAAAAAATGCCCTGTAAGGGTTTTTCAAACTATAAACTGCTGAAATAATTGTGCCTTTTCTTTTTCTCCCCCAACCCCCTTCTTGAGTTGTCTATTTTCTGATCTTTAGATTGCAGAATCCTTTCGGCAATTTTTGTCCTGTGCCATGGTTTTATTAAGCAGGTACTTTTTTGTAAACCTACCCTTCGAGCCTTGCATATTTTGTGCAAGCTGGTATTCCTCCCTAGTGTTTATGTTAATTTGTTCATTTTTGTTACTTTGTCAGTTTGTTAATTTGTTGGTTAATTTGTCACCAACCAATACTGACAAATAGGCTGGGCGTGTTTCTTCCTACTGCCCATGTTCTGGGGGGAAAATGGGAAGTCTAGCTGGGTCATTGCTTCCAGGACAGTATAGTTTGGTACCAGTCATTTGACGTGCATGTTTTGAATATCCATGAATGCTGGGGATAGTCCTTGATTCCCTCTATACCACATTTTATTGATTGGCCACCCTGGCATCCTTTGTACCACTGCAGGGGTCTAGGTTCTCAAATCTTCCTTATGAGACACTTGTCATTTTTATTTTCACACCACAGAAACGAGGGAAACTGGTAACGAATTAATATGGTCCCTTCACAGCTTCTTCACATCTTCCCCCACCCACCGTGTATATTTTTGACATTATCCCTCGAATAATTGTGTTAAAAAACAGACCTGAGACTGGCACTCTGTTGAACTACTTCTCGTGCCTTTGTAATATCTGTAAGGTCCAAACTCCTTAGCATGGCAGCCAGGTTCCAGCCATCCCCTCCCATGTACATTCTATTCTAGCCACACTAGAAGGTACAGTGTCCCCCCACATCATCCTTAGCTTTCACTCTTCTATGTCTTGGCTTAACACTTTGTCCAGGCTGCCTTTCCCACAATCTAGCTTGCGTCTCCCAGCTCAAGTGTGTGCCTCCTCGCTTT